TGGTTTTTTCGAGACAGGGTTTCTTTGTGTAGCTTTGCGCCTTTCCTGGAACTCACTTGGTAGCCCAGGCTGGCCTTGAACTCACAGAGATCCTCCTGGCTCTGCCTCCCGAGTGCTGGGATTAAAGGCGTGCACCACCGCCACCTGGCTCCAAGCGGTTTTTAATGGTTTCTTGCCACGCTGGGTGCCAAATGTAGAAGTAACCGTCTTATTAAATAAGAAACACAGAGCCGATGCAAAGATGAAAGCCCAGGAGGTCATTTAGAAAATGGAAATAAAGGTAAACTGTTAGGTATCGCACTCAAAAAGGAAGAAAGAGAATGAGAAGAAAAACCTTGTCTAAGTTGGACTGGAGTTCTAAACCTGCACTAATCAGCAGGTTCCCTTGCTAGACTATTTGCCTTGAAAGCTTAATGTATTTCTAAGTGATTTCACTAACATTATAGATAGCTCTTTGCCTTCCAGCTACCATAAAAAAACACTCTACGTAGCTATTAGGCAATATAAGGCACTTTATGAAAGGAGCCTCTATCTCAGATCCTTCCCTGGTCAAAGACTGAGCAGCTCCAAGATCCAATTCTTTTTAGCTTTCCATTGGAGCTCACATTCAACAAATTCTCAGATGGTTTTCCTCCTTCTTAATCTTTTAAAATCTGTTTTTTTAGTATACTGTGAGTATTTTTTAATGATACCAATGTTTCTCTGGAATCTTAAACAGAATTCAATCTCATAAGCTTTTTTTTTTTTTTTTAATTAACCCTGTGAGGCAAGCTGTTTGCTCTCAGCTTTTTTGGAAATAAATCTAAGCTATCTAGCAATGCTTAGGAAACAAACTTCATTTCAAGCTGAAACAAACAAACAAACAAACAAACAGCTTTTCCTGGCAGTTATCAACATCTTTGGCAGAAAAACTACTTTTCCCAGAATGCATTTCTCTATACCAGCCAGCTGTTATGAGCTACCATTCAGACTCCATTTCCCATAATTCCTTTTGAGTCCGTGAGTACATTTCCTGTTCCCTTTTACTGGGTTTGATTTATTGTTGAAAATCAAGAGTAAAGGACCTTTTTCCTCACTATGGCAGATTTCTTGTCAGAAGATTTCTGTTCTCACTGAGCTCACCTTAATAGGTGTTTCTCTTTCACCCAATACTGGCCCCATATCAGAATCTCACCTACAGGTTAGCCCTCATTGAGGCAGGTATCCCTGATACTAAAATTCACTCCTTTAGTTTGAACAGCTCCAGTGCTTTTTCTAAAGCTGTGAAACACTGATGTCAGGCTGAATGACAAGTTTCTCTAACATCTCTGTTTTCCTTTTATTATTTCATCCTCTCTAAGATGCTCCTGTCTGTCACAGGCTGAGTTTCAGGCAAGGAAGTCACAGACAGAAACACCCCCCTTGATGTTTATGATGTGCTGTCTCCAGCGCCTTCACAGTTCCTAGGCTAGCATATGTTCTCCATACAGGTGTGGAATCTGAGGTAGGGCTGTGGCATGCAAAAACTATCCCCATTGAGTGCATCCTCCCACAATTCTGTTGTTTTGAAACCTCAGTTTTTCACAACAGGCCATCCCTGAGTCTTAGGATTCTCAGAAAAGCCACATTCTGTAAGACACAGCTTGGAAGTGGAGTTTTTCTCCAGAACCATGTTTCCTGCCTGGGAGCCTGACTCACTAGTCAAGCTAGCCTATGACTTTACTCTGTGGGCCAGGCTGAGGCTTCAGGGAAGAGCTAGGCACTGTTCCAGAGAGGAAAGGGTGGAGCCACAGGCTGCTCTGCTCCTGCACCACAAGCCTCCTTTGTAAATAGCCCTTAGTGGGGTCTGGACAGCACAGTTCTGGTTTCACCTTTGAGCAGAAGCTGCAGCACTCCATGAGGGAGCTGAGACAGGCAAGGTACACAGGCCCTGGATCCTTCGGAATCATGCTCCAAAAACATCCTCACAACTTTGCTCTGGCAACTTGACTTCTCTTTTTGCTCAAGGTTCTGTTTTACTTTATTTTCTTGTTTGTTTTCTTTTTTAGTTTTGTTGTTGATGTTATTGTTATTGCTTTAAGATAATAATAGAATTACATAATTGCCCCCTCCCCTCCCTGCGCATGCCCCCTCTTTCCTTTCTGACAACCTCAGAAATACCCTTCCTGACTCATTTAAAAATCTGGCCTCTTTTTTCATTGTTGCTACAATTATGAATACAAAGAAAAAGGGGGTGGTGCAGGATCTGCCCTTTCTTATTGGACAGTTCTGGCTTGGCAAGATGCAGCAGGTTGTGGGGGCTCCGGTGCAGGCCAGGGAGGAGGCCACTGGCAGTCCCAAAACTCAGAGCTGAATGGTGAAGTGGGAAGTCAGAAGTTAAGAGCTGGGACCCTTGGCAAATCCCCAGTTAGACAAGAGGAGTTACCAGGGGGAGCAGGCCCCCACTTATGCACCCACACTCTCCAAGGGTACCCTGCCTCACCCCAGCTCGGAGCTGGCTTCCCGTTGCTTCCTAGCTACCCTTTGTACCACCAGAGGGCACCCTCTCACTAATCAGTATGTATAACATTACTTCTTTGCAGGTTTTCAGGGCTGACCATTTGGTATTGAATAAGTCCTTGTTCCCTGGGTTTTTGTGACCTCATTAGTGCTTTCCTACTGCTTGAGAATGGCCTCAGCTGCTCTACCACGTGATCCCAGTTTGGATGCTGAATGGGAGGAATGGAAGATGAACTTTAAAAAAATCCTACAGCCCGGTTGGTAACATGGTCACTGTCCAGAGGGATTTCAGAAAGAATGGCCCTTGCTGTTGGGGGTCTGTAGGCATAAATGTGGCCACAGAGGCCAGCCATCACTGAAGACTTGCTTAAGACATGCACTATGAACTCAAGGTGGCCAGCTTTGCTAATCCTCTGGGTATGGAGAATGGCTGGCTGTGGTGTCCTGAGATCCCTCTCCATGGCTCCTCTTTACCTGTTGCTACACTCCATTTGGTCAGCTTGTATGTGGAGTTAATAAGAAGAAAATACTATCTATTGTGTTCATTTCCAGGATGAAGAAGGACACAGAAGAGCAGTGTGGGAAAAGAATAAGAAATTTATTGAGAATCACAATGCAAACTATGAGCAGGGAAAGACAAGTTTCACTATGGGCCTGAATGGATTTAGCGACATGGTGAGTGAGATATGGATTATTAATTCTGTGCTTGTTCAAGAAAGGTCTTTACATTTAGTCTCTTGGAGTTCAATGTTTTATTTGCTTTTCCATGAAGACACGGGAGGAATTCTTGACCATTTGCTGTGGAAGATCAAAGTCTACAAGAGATTTGCCTAAATCTAAGAATTTAGAAGAGAACAGCAATGTGGCATCTGTGATGGATTAGGTAAGACAGTGTCTCATCCCTACCCTCAGTTGCCCACAGGAAGCCAAGGAGAAAATGAAGTCCTCACTGAGGTCAGCTGTAGAACAACTGGAGTTTCACTGTTTGACTAAGTGTTCTGTTCTATGAAGTGTGGAGAGAGTTTATATTAGGCTGTTGATGACAACCCTTTCTTCTTGATTGGGGTACTGTAGTTGGGCATAAAGTATGGTGACCATGAAGGAAAAAGGCTTCAGGGAAGGTACTGTGAGAAAGCCACTGTGCTGCAATCTTTCTAATCAGTGTGATATGTGCTTTTCTTCCAGCTGGATTAGCAGGAGGGGCAGGATTGTCAACAGTAAGATAGCCTAGGAGTAAAGCAATCATTCTGTCATTGCCTCAGGAGCCTTCTGCCAAGATGGGAGCTGCATGATGCTGAAAGAATGGACTGGGGGAAGAAGGAACAGGAGTCCATCACATTGTCCAGCATGTGCTGTGTAGAATGAAACACTGAATTCATTTAATATCAACACTGTGATGTGAACTACCATGAATATTCACACTAATAGAATATTAACAATGTTTATCTCTATATCTTAAAATTAAAGCTTGATTTTAATTGTAGTATTATGCTTTCTTTCTGGTTTTGTTTCAGTAAGATTTTATTTTGTTAAAACCTTCTGCTTGAAGGTATACCTGTCTGTGGGAAGGTGTTCTAGGAGAAGGCGTGTCAGTTCTCTCATTATAGAGTCTGTTTCCCATCCTTGGTTGAGCTCTGCTTCCTGGGCTTGATCTGGAATGATCTGAAAGTAGACAAGTAATTTTCTGGGATTCCAGCTTGTTAATTCACATGGATTGACCAAGTATAAATGGTGACTGAAAATATAATTAGTAACTAGAAATCTAGTCAGGCAGAGATGGCACCCTCTCTCCCAGTGCCCTGATCCTGTACCATGGATCTCATTTTATATGATTGTATCAGTGATCTGCACTAGCTGTGCTGTGACCACATAGAAGTCATCTAAAGGATGAGGTCTGAGTGACAGGAGTGTAGTCTATGCTCAAGTGACCCTTTCATAAACCAACAGAGCCCAGTCATGCAAAAAGGTACATGGATGTCTCTTACTGCAATTACATTCAGACCAACCTCAAAAGTCATCAGTTTCAGAAGGGTTCAAATCTCCAGAAGACCTAAGGAATGTCATTACCTGTGACTACCTTTTGAAGTTAACATAACAACAGCACATTACAGACTTCCAACAGACAAATGCACAGAGTTTAAAATTCCATTCCAAAATGAATGATTGGGACATAACAAGGAATAACAAGTCCAAAACAAAAGAACCATATACTAAATTCCATGGCTGAGTGTGTCAGCCAACCACCTCAGCTATGTTTCCTGTAGGATATGTAGACTCTAAGCTCTTGGACTGGTTCTTGCCATATGTTTAGCTTTCTTTGGTGGATATCTCATGGCTCTGGTCTCACCACCTTTGGTGAACTCCCCTGCTAGTCAGTTCCATGAGGGGTCTGTCAGCGCCTGCTTGCAGATGCTCTGACCTGAAAACAAGTGCCTCTCTTCAACGTCTCTCAGAATCCATGACTCACCAAATTTAGGAATTTTCATGCTTATGGAACCAGTTGTTCACATATTACACCAAGTGGTTTTCAGACACCTTTGGGTAAAGCTTGGCACTTTGGGATGTTAAACTCATCCATTTCTCTTCACTGATTCTGGGGACTCATTTCACTGGAGAGCAATTTTCCAGAATACTTTAAAGGTTCCACAACCAATCCACCGTGACTCTCCCATTGTTACAGGCATGTTTTTAAGTCTGTATGAGAGTCTCTTTCATTTCCAGGATCTTAAGTTCCAACAATGACTTTTAAAAACACATATGGATAGTTATAAGAAAGAGCATTTATAAGATAAGAAATAGCCAGATGTTTCTAGGACCATTAGAAGGTAGTCTAAGAGTGTTCCAGTCATATCTCTCCTGCTGCCTTTCCTACATTAATCTCTGGTATCCCCATCTCACCCTGTTCCTGTTCCATATCCTGTTGCCTCATCACCAGCTAGGGGAAACCTGTGAGGTTGTGGGATGTAGTTCACATTCAAACCCCAGCAGTAGCAGCTGCACAACTGTTATAGTTCTTCTCTGTGATTGAGCATTATCAACCAGGATTGACCTCTTGAACACAGAACAGATGTTACTTATGTATTATATGTGTATAATATATAACTGAATTATATGCATAGTTGTTCATACTGACTTCCCAAAGCTGTATACAGGTCAGTCCACCCTGCTTTCCTCATGGTGCCAGTTGTATGCCAGAAAACCATGAGACAAATACATCTCCCAAAACAGAAATCAGCCCTTACACCTTTGCAGACAATATCTTGCACTATAGGCTGGACTACAGCTACTGCCCAGCTCTGTGTCCTACAGCAGGGTATTTAATAACCTATTCTCATTTTTCTATCCTTTGGTTAAATGTATTCACCATCAACAAACCCCTTTCTTGGTCTCCTAAATTTATGATGCCTTTCTTCTATTTCAGTGTCCCCCTTCTCATTTAATGACCTACCTCTGCCACTCTGCCACACACACTGAAATCCAGGTCCAACACATCACAATACCCATGCTATTTGTCTTTAATACCCTGGTTTCATTTGCTGAACATCATAATCTCCATTTCCATATGTTTTCCTACCAATTCCATGATGTAAAGAGCCCATTGGCTGAATTACTTTGTTAATTGCTCTAAGGTCTGTTACCATTCTCCATTTACCAGATTTCTTTTTAATAACAAATACAGGAGAATTCCAAGGGCTGGTTGATTCTTCAATATGCTGAGCATTTAACTGTTCTTCTACCAGCTCTTCTAAATCCTGGAGTTTTCTGTTGTTAAAGGACATTGCTCAACCCATACAGGCTTGTCTGTTAACCATTTTAAAGGTAGAGTTGTTAGTGTCTTTGGAAGATCATCAGTTGTTGTGCCCTGTTCTTATATAATATGGATGGCTGGTGACAACTCATTAGAATAATAGTTTCTAATATTTCTCTCAGAAACATGTGCTAGTTTATGATTTGTTTCTGAGATTGGAGGGATATTAATCTGAATATTTCATTGTTGCAACAGGTCTCGACCCCACAGGTTCATAGCTATGTTAGCCACATATGGTTTTAATTTTCCTCTCTGTCCTTCTGGACCGATACATTTGAGCCATCTTGCACTCTGTTTCACTTGAGATAATGTTCCAATTCCTAACAGTTGAATGTTTACCTCCTGAAGAAGCCAATTGGATGCCAAAATTCTGGTGCAATTATGGTCATGTCAGCACCTGTGTCTACCAGACCAGACAACAAAACACCATTTATTTTTATCGTTAATTTTGGTCTTTGTTCATTTATAGAAGTTTGCCAAAAAAATTTTCATGTTTTCTCCTGCATTTTTTTGTCCTCTCTGTCTCAGCTGTTTCATCACCCTATGTAGCCTGGTTTATTTGAATAGGCATTTGGTTATTTAATTGCTCTGAGTACGGGTTTCTTCTACCACTGCAGGAAAGGTCTGAACTGGATTTGTTGTGGGGGCCTGCCTGAGGCTCCTCTGAGAGTTTCCTGAAGACCAAGGCAAAGTATTACCTTGCCTGTCCCTTGTTGATCTACATTTGTTGGTCCAGTGTTTTCCCTTACCACACTTTCTGCATACTCCAGAGGGAAGGGGCATTCTGTTGCCATTGTTCCTTGAAGAAACATTGTTTCTAGGAATGCCCTGTTTACAGTCCCTTTTCAAATGTCCTTGCTTTCCACATCCAAAACATCTGACATTCCTTACACCTCTTGAAATTGCTTCTCCTATCCACATATCATCATTACTAGTTTTAAATACTTTACATTGGATTGGATTGTTTTATATTGTACACAAATTATATATTTATATATATATATATATATTGAAATTGATATTGTTAGAAAATGCTGTATGTATATTTCTAATCTTGTTTAAGATATTGTACTTATACCATTCATTTAACAATGTAATGCAATTTGCTGATTCTACCAACTATTAGGATATACAGAAATGAAAGTTAGTAGTTAGACATTACAATAGAACTTGTAGCCATATTAGATGTGTTTTCAAGATTGAGCAGATATATTTTAGAAGACAGGTCATCTCCAAACCCTTCAGAGATCTACAGAATATGGAATTTGAAATGTTTTAATAACTTAGAAAATTTTTCTTTTTTTGTTATGACTATGAGACATGTCGTCTCCTGGCAATACCAATCTACTTCAGAGAAAATATGGGCATTGAAGAAACTACATATGGAGTTAACTTTCATTGTGGCAAAAATTAGCCACTGGACAACAAAGTATCTTTTAATCAGCTGCTGACAAACAGGACAAAATGGACAGACAGGACACGAAACAAAGGTCTGATTCTTGCCAAGACAAGTGTTGTTGTGGCTTTATCAAAAGGCATCTTCTGAGGCCAGGACAATATGGCACCATCCCTGAACTGGCCTTTGCAAGCTAGAAAAGGTACCATGCCCTTTTCTTCGAAGGTAGCTGAACAGGCAGTGGGCTGATCCTTCTGATGTGCAGTAGAACGGCAGCTGAAACAGTTATTCTTTAAGAGTAACTAAGCTCACACCTCTCAATAGTAGACTGGCATTTAATAGAGGGATATGGAGAAGAATGGGCTGCTGAGATGAAGACAGACAGACACACACACACACACACACACACACACACACACACACACACAGCCAAGAAGAATGGACAGCTGAACTCAAAAAACATGAACAATTTCCAGAATTTAAGATCCTGGATCATGGCATGACACTAGTGGAATTCAAGTGTTTCTGGTACATGGACTGCTCTCACCAATGTGAGGTCAAACTGTTGACCTTGTGTACATCCTAGTTCACATGAGTCTGTCAGATATGCTAAGCCTATAGGCTGAAGATGATGCCCCAACGCTGTGGAGAAATCTTGCATGACAATCTTGCATGA